AACAACTAACAAAAACACAAAGACAAAATATACAGATCTAAGAATATTCGTAGTTACTGAAAGCTAGTTCAAAGCTATGAAAAAATCATGCATCTGACACTAAAATATCAATCATTCAAATCCAATATCCAACATACAAAGGATTTAGTGTAAAGACGTCATTAACAGTCAGATAAAAACTAGATCCTGTGCGTTGCCAAAATATAGGTATCGACAGAATGTATGACCGTGAATTTTCATAGGTGTATGACACTAATATTTAGTTGGGTTTTACTTCATTGGTGACAAAATCAATATCTATACTGATAAATTAAAATATTCAAATATCCAATCACAGTGTTAAATTGGTAACCTTTTAGAATACGCTTATTTAAGGGATCGATAAGTTTACCTGGGTCGTATCTAAATTTACAGGCTCGATAAACAACATCACCGTAAATATTAGTATGTGCTATCCCTTTTGCAATAAGTTTCCTACAGGTACAGCCAGAATTCCAAATCAGATCTTTGTATTTATGAAAGAATTTAGTAAAGCTTTTAAGCAATTTGTGGTAACGAAATTTTTGACTTAATAATTCACCAGTAATACATAGATAACGTTTATTTAGATCCAAAACGTCACCACTGACACAGGCATAGCGAAAGAGTTAGGATAAATTAACCCCGTAAGATGAGGCCAAAAGGAACCGTTTATCACCGTCCAAAAACGGAAAATTAACAATAGCGAACGGAGAATCGTCGCTGTTGTAATTTTTTGTGTAGATTTTCTTGAGTAAAACTGAAATATCAAAATCTAGGAAAGGACAGTTATTGCTGAAAGTAAGTTCCTTTGAGTAAATTTTGGCAATTTATTTAGAAAATCCTTGATTATTTAACGAAAAAGAGAATCAATGTATAAATGGTAAGGTTGTTTAATTAATAAACTAGATGGAATTAAATACGCTTCATTTGAACTCTGTTGGATAGTCGTCTCGTTGACAAGCATACGACGTGTCTTTATCTTATATATTTTTTTTTATATTCATATGAAACATAATTCATATAAAACAAAGGCAAAAAAGAAAGAAAACCTCGGCAAGTCCTTTGATTGCACGTTTAGATATAAGGTAATGTCTTGTTACTCTAAAATCGACATTACACCGAGTCCTTGCATCTCATTTATCCGGTGATCTTGACAATTATGATACCACCGAAAATAAAAGGTGTGCTAAAATATCTGGATCTTTCTCTGAAATTGACCAAGATGGACCACTTCAGACTAGGATCTATGACAATCGTGACGATTCTAGTTTTTTGCATTGTCAACTTACCATTTCTCAGTAGAAACATACCCTATAAAAATCATTTGTCGTGCACAGGGTTCAATTGATACATTAACGTTACGTGTATGCATGCTCCTATGATATGGATTTCATCAACATGGTGTCCTCCCAACGCAAAAACACACTCCGGTAGGGTTCATAGAGGAATTACAAAATTCGACGCTGCATAATTTTACCAAACCATCACGAATGTGTTGACCGATACAATATGTCTAAGTTAAGTGAGAGACATGTTTTCGTGGTCTTACATCATAAGATACAGAATACGTCGGCTGATCTTATTGTGTAAATATTTGTGACGTGAAGTTTTTTCAGAATATTCCATTGTCGGAAGAATTTCCCAACAACAGAAAATAGAAAGTTCATATGTAGCATGCCCTTTATGGACCGTTCATTGTTGACGGCCGTACGGTTGCCTATAATTGCTTACATCCACTTCATTTTAACTTATGTGGATAATCTGATTGGCAATCATACCACATCTTATTTTTATATTAATAAAGTATTCGCATTCGTAGGTAAATTAAAAGCGAAGACAGTTTATGTCTGTAAGAGAAATAATGAAATGCGAGAACAACATGTACAATCTAAACTATATCTCTTTCAGTTTGTGTCACACGTTTTGTTGAAAAGTCTGCATATACAATGTACGGCTGTTTCTGCATTACTTAGAAAATACATTTTTAATAATGAAATTTTCTATATACCAATAAGTTCCTAATGAATTGGGAATAAAATAACACTTGTATGATAAATTTTGTCACTCTTGTTACATTTAAATTATTATACACCGGGTCTTCGAGAATCTACACCGATTATGTTCAGGATAGTGAAAAGTTGTATCTAATTCTAAACGCCATTTTCTAAACATGCTAAGGAATACAGAAATCACACAATAAATCTGACATGAACATTGTTTCGGAATATACAATGAGAGAATGTATAAAGCTACGTTTTACAATTTGAAATCGACTGATTAATAATTGTTGTTTGTTTAACGTTCAGTGGCAAACAAGTTCATGTACATTCAGGACGAAAACAAATTAACAATAAATCAATAAATTAACAATTGTCACTATATATATATATAAAATGATAAATTGAAACAAGGGATCATTTTTCCCTTGTAACATGCCGTCGATGGATACCTCCTAACGGAGTTATTGCACTGACATGGAGCGCTGAACTCCCCCTACGCGAGTCATCGGATTAAAAATCAACTTTCAGACTGGACGGCTGCGTATTTGTAAATCCTGTACAACCAAACGAATAAGTGAATAAGACAGTATTTCTATAATCCAGTCAATCATTGTGTTCCTTCAAAATCAAGAATATTATAAACTTATGATATAAGATACACGGACTGTTCACAAAACATTCAGTAATTAAGTTTTTTGGTTCATATGAACTCGAAAACAGCCAAAGTTACTAGCTTCTCATTTTGAGAACTTTTCACTAATATCAAAATACCCAACAGCAACATAAACCAAAAAATATTTTACCACCATATGTCATTGCAGTAAAATTGTATTGATCCAAACGTATTTGATAACATTATTTTAAAGTAATCTAAGAAACATATTGTATATTTTTCGCATTGTTCGTTATTAAAGGAAATAATATCAAAATATATTTTAAATCTATTTTAAGTAATCGTAAGAATGTGTGGTATGATTGCCAATGAAACAACTACCGACCAGAGACAAATGACGTAGATGTTAGCAACTACAGGTCACCACACGGCCTTCAACAATGAGCAAAACCCATACCTTATAATAATATATAAAAGACCCCGACATGACAAAATGTCAAATAATTCAAGCGAGAAAAGATTTATGTGTGTTTCCTATCTAAAAACATTGCTGCTCTTGTTTATAAAGTTATGACAGGTTCATCGTTCATCTTACATACATATTGTTGTTCTCGCCACGTTATTACTTTTATGTGATAGGTGCTTAAGACAAAGAATCAATCAAACAATCTTATATTGATCTTATAGTATATATTTTTTTTCGTGAAAACCCAAAATTACAGAAAAGTTGGTGCTCATAAAAATATTAAGGGAAATCAATAAAAAGAAAGTTCTGATGAAATTCTATATCTCTTTACGAAATCTGAGTATTTGTCTCTATAATGGTGCTTTTACAATTATCTGTAGGAAACAAGAAATTCGAGTGTTGACGTTAGTTACTATCTGCATATTATAAATAGGGAATAGTATATGGCTTTTCAATATCACACCCGAATCAACCCGAGACACCGTTATAATCCCTCTGTTCTAGGGATTATCTTGTTAGAGGGTTGATACTGTGATATTAAAAAGCCATATATTAAACACTTTATCATATACTGGGGTTTGATATCGATATCATCACAGAAGGCTTATACAGAACGATTGCCATTGATTGTATTACACATACATTTAACTTGTATCTGCTTCCAAGTATACAATCAACCATTTGTGTTTCAGGTTTTAGCAATCATTTACTATCCCACTATTCACTGGCCTTTACTATTGTATGTAAGAATCTGTCAATTAATTAAATTGGAGCTGTACCGTTATGTATGTACATGTAGTTGTATGAAGATTTTTTATATATGTGTGCACTGATTCCTGTCTTGGTCACTATAAAATCTTTTGATTATGGCTAAATATATTAAATGAAAATTATTCATATTGTATCATTCATGCTACTTGCAAACGTTCAGCATACGTTTTACTTTTTGTTCGTTTTGGTTTTATCACCTCTTAAACGTTTGTATTAGGTTTTGGATTTTCAAATAGTTTGGCCTCTAATACCACCGAAGAGACATTAATTGTCAAACTGCGCATATGGTGCAGTGAAATGACATGACAAAAATATGATCATGGAGGTGAAAAAATTTTCGTCTGATTGTTTCGTAAATTTACTCTCCACTTAACTTTCGAATTATTAATTTTTAAGTTATATATATATTTTTAATTTAAACATAAAAATGGAATTTTGAGGGGGGAAACAAAGAGTAAAATGTAAATTAGTTTTCTCAACTGAATTGTTTCATATTTTTCATGTCGGGGCCTTTTATAGTAGACTATACGGTATGGGTTTTCCTCATTGTTGAAGGCTGTACGGTTGCCTATAACTGCTTACATCCACTTCATTTGAACTTTGGTTGAAAGTTGTCTCTTTGGCAATCATACCATATCTCCTTATTTTCATAAGACTTAATGAAATTTTGCTAATTCCCCTATGTATAGTATTAGACTAGGAAAGGAAAATGTTACGGAATTTACAGGGAGAGAAATATAATTCAAAACCAGAGTCATTCTATGGATACAATTATTTTTAAGTAAACAACTGCATGGTTGTTGATATATAGAAAGAGAAGGTATAGAGGACTTGACTTATTAATGTCCAAGGAGTTTCTGTCCTGCCGGTTTTTTACAATATGACTATTGAAAAAGCTTGAAGTGTACATTGTTGTGGTTTTCCGGTTGTTAAAATGCTTTAGTTCGCAATCGAATCTGAAAAAAATACCTCTGCATAGCAACAGAAATGACATATTTTCTTTTATTATCTGTTATTGTACTAAGTAATTTATGTATCACTTATTTATATGTTTCATAATCTTATTCGTCTAACTTGTGCGAATATATGTATTGTACATTTATAAAGCACCTAATTATTACGGACTCACCTGATCGGATGAAAACAGATCTTTTGAAGATACTTGACAGACAAGAACTACGATGAATGTCAACAGTAAAGTACACGTGTCCTTTATTTGCATTATAATTCCACAGGCAGAACAAATATACAACAGAATCAACCAAAAACGATGACGTTGTTTACAAACACCAACAATTTATTCTGCTAAGCTTTCTTCTCATAAATAACACTGTTTAAAGAAAAAAAGTAATGACTACATATACTTTGAAAATTCATTAAATTAAATTGAAGCACTGTAAAAAATCATACTTATATTTTGTTAAATAATGTTTGATAAGTTCAGTTTAAATAAACTCTACATATAAAATATTTCGCTTAATTAAAAGATTTTCACTTAAGTCTTTTTTAACCTGTTATTATCGTATAGGTGGGGTTGGTAGTCAACGTGATTTTCAAAATTACTTGTACATTTGTATTTTTCGATTTTTAAATGGTTGTAATATGTCCCCTTTACTGTTGCCAAGGTAAATTGAAAATAAAATTTCCAAGTGACTTTGCAGCATAACTGCGATATGTTTGATTTTTTTTTGCACTCTAAATTTAAAAATCACATTTATCAATTTTATTGCGTTTCCATAACTTATTTAATTAGTTCTGGCTCAAGGAATATAGAAGTGGTACTAATATTTAAAAACATACATTAAATAAATACATGTCCATCAACCGACCAATATACGGTATGCCTTTTGTGTAGTGCGCGTATGTTCAATATCATAGAAAGTTTAATTTTGTTGCTGGTTTTTCTCACACAATATCTGTTTCCAATATTGATCATCTCTTTATATAGCATGTTTCATTATGTTTGAATACGATATCGTTTTTTAATTTTCATTCAGGTAAAATTCAAGAAAGATAGACATATTGTATATTGAAATCAAAATATGGGGTAAAGTATGAAATTAAATAGTTGCTCTGTCCAACGTAATATTTCCAATAATTTAAAAACGAATATCCATCACATCTTTTATATATTCAAAAACATACTGATCATTGAATGGAAGCTAGGGATGCTAGCATTTATGGTGCAAGGTTATCTAGAAAGGCGAACAGTTGAACTTTCCTTCATCATTTTCCGCATTCCGGTTTTTATGGGAGGTCGTGTTGCCAATACTAGTAGCTTTAGATTAAGTACATTCTTTTTTGCTGGGAGGTCGTATTGCCAATAGCTTTAGATTAGGTCTTCTCTATTTAATGGGAGGTCGTATTGCCAATAGCTTTAGATTAGGTCTTCTCTATTTAATGGGAGGTCGTATTGCCAATAGCTTTAGATTAAGTGTTCTCTTTTTTCTGGGAAGTCGTTTTGCCAATAGCTTTAAATTAAGTGTTCTCTTTTTAATGGGAGGTCGTAATGCCAATAGCTTTAGATTAAGTGTTCTCTTTTTGCTGGGAGGTCGTATTGCCAAAAGATTAAGATTAACTGATCGTATAGTCTCGTTTGTGAATTTTACTCTGACATTTGATTTCTGATCTTTCTTAACACTTTGTTCAGTATCGACTATCTGCAGGTGGTACGCATGTTTCATGTTGAAACGTTAAGATAACGGACTGTAACATTTGAAAGTACAAATGAAGATAAAGAAAAATAAACTGAACTGTTCGTCATTGTCTCACTGATTTACATGAACTGTACTCGTACTGTGAACAACAAATTTATTCAATTTGTAAAATATAAAAAAATATTTCCATACTCCTAACAACAAAGTTATTATATTTAAATTTTCCTGTGTACGTTATTTTATTTAACGCCATTTTGTCCAGGTTAGAGTTGTCTTTTTGACATTGTTTTAAATCTTTTTTTATTAGTATTGTATTTATATTGTGTCATAGATCAGATTTATTCATTCATTGTATGTTTACTTATTTTTGTCTATATGTCTTTTTGGTCGAGTTAAGCCATTTCAATTGATATTTTATAGTGTGTCTTTTTATGTTGTGATGTTACACAACTGTTTCAGGTAAGGGTGAAGTTTGACGCCTGTTAAAACGTTTAAACCCGCTGCATTTGTATGCACCTGTCCGAAGTCAGGAGCCTGGTCAGTGGTTGTCGTCTGTTGATGTTCGTAATTGTTTCTCGTTTTTTATATAGATCAGACCGTGGGTTTTCCTATTTGAATTGTTTTACACTAGTCATTTTGGGGCCCTTTATAGCTTGCTGTTTGATGTGAGCCAAGGCTCCGTGTTGAAGGCCGTACTTTGACCTATAATTGTTTACCTTTTACACATTGTGACATGGATGCCGAGTTGTCACATTGGCACTCATACCACATCTTCTTATTTCTATTGAAACAGTAAAAAAGGGAGAACTGTGTGGTTTCATTATATACTGAAAACCTCTCATTCGCCAAATAGACTGTAGGAGCATAACAGATCGGTAGCTTGTGTCTTAAGACTATTTTAGATGGTTGTTTTATCCCATTCCTTGGAGACATAGTCCCATAAATTTTCTATTTCATGTCATTCTTGAAAATAAGCCCTTAATACAATTTCAAAGAAAAACAATTTCATAGAGAACGCGTTCATTACAAAAAGAAGAAAAAAAAAGAAAGAAAAGGAAGAGAAATATATGATAATAAAAGCTACGTCTTCACGATCTTTGAATTATTAATAAGAAATTTAAAAAGTATTACCAGAACAATCGATAATTTGATCAAAGTAATTTATAGTATCAATATCAAAATTTAAATCCTGCCATGAAAAATGTACTGTTGTATATGAAAGCAACAACTGTAGGTCAGTGTTCGTTGAAACGAAAATAAGGAATTAATATGAAAAAGGTACATTTACAATCTATTGATAGTCAAGTCTATAATTGTAATACAAATGCAACTATTGTTCTGCATAACAAGAAACTTGTTATAGTTATTTTCCCACTAAGTACAATATATATATAACTAAATAAAGAAAAATCCTAATTTATCCACAGCCGTTTAACCTTTTTGACACAAGACCCAGTTCGAAAATGCAGTTTACAGCTATTTTTCATTGACTGTTACATGCAAACAATGAATAATGTTTTTTTTTTATTGACGTATTTTTATTGAACCCAAAATGAAACAATGTAATATCCAAAAGATGAAAACCACAACTTTTGACTGTTCTATATGGTAATTTAGTGTGTTAAATAAAATTACAAAGTAACTGCATTAATTCATAATACCCACTTTATAAATTGATTTTTTTTGTTAGTTCAGATCGACTCCCATTTAAGAAAAAAGTTTCTGCCATGCGATAATTCAATTTTAAATAAAAAATCCGTTTTAACAGTGCTTAATCTCTTCACATTGAACTGTATGCATGCGGATAAATGTTTGGAAAGACAAAAACAAAATACAAGAAATGCTTTACAGAAGAGATAAATATCAGATTGAGAGAGTTGACATATAACTTAAAGAATTTCATTTATCAAAATTAGGAAGATAACGCATAGAGTAAAATAATGTTTTCCATTTTAATTACGTTTTATTTTATAATCTAAAATTTTGATGTACACAAATTCCATAATTGAAATAATTTGAAGAGGACAAAATGTTATAAAAATATACATATAAAATGTTCAACTTTTCATGTTATATACGAGATAAAATTAGTAGAATTTACCCGTTCACAGATATCAAAAGTCCATTGTTTTCCTTCGAAATATTCCTATCCTCTTCTAACTCCAAAAAGTTTCTTAAATAAATTTTCAAATAATGATTAAACCATATTATACAGCCGTCATTTAAAATTCATCAACCTGACGTGGGTTGAAAGACAAATATTGCTTTCCAATGTACTCGTTTTACAACCCGAAAACCCGATATGATTGGATAGTAAAAGAAGTCATAAATATTCATGATATAGGCTATCAGTGACATCAATCACCACAAATCATCGTCATGTCGATGCTTGTGAAACTGATTGATTTTTTCTTATTCCAGTAAATGTTTAAATGTCGGAATTGGGAGTTGACAATCCTGTCGCTATCAAATCGATTCAGTGTTTCAAATATAAATGCAGTTTTCACGAGATAATTTAATTATGCATAATGATGTAAAATTACCCAGTATTTAAAACTTTTATTAACTATCTTTAAATCTCTATTTATACCATCCCTATATAATTCGCTTAAAGTCTTTATTAGACACTTATACATGGTGGTTTGCGAGGGCGATGAGATTTTAAAAAAAATAGTATCGACTGAGGTCGATGACAATAATCAAATTTATATATAAATATCATATGTTTCACTTTAAAAAGTTGAAAACTATTTTATTACATTTGTGTATTGAAATATGTATTGCCGCATGAGCCTAGTTTTGAAATAATTACTCAGATTTCAATGTCGTAAATAAGAAAAGATATATTTTTTAGAAATAATATAAAAGCTTGTATAAAGCTAAAATAGCTATTTTCGTATTTTAAGTTTTATATTTCAAAAAATCAGAGCAACCATGTGTCTTATTATGAAATAGAAGGATTGCACATTCTTACTGACATCCGAATCTAGGGTTTCTTGAAACGAATACTTAGTAAATTGTCTAATTTTATGTTTTATATAAAACCCGTACCGACCATATCGTATATATACTGAAGCCTGTAATTTTACAGCACATAATAAAAAGTTATGGCACAAACATGCAATTAGGATGCAACTGCTGTCTGAAGAACATTCTAGCCATAACCTCTCTATTCAAATTATTGTATCTTATTTTTGCATGATTTTATTTCTTTACAAATCAACCTGTATTGATTAATTAAAAAAATAATATATTTCAACATGTTTAAATTTGAAATGACACTTGTGAATGTAAAGGTATATGCTTTCGAATAATTTGAAACAATTTACTGATAAATTGTTTTTTATATTTATATTTAAAAGTTTCAGTTATCAGTTTAATGACACAAACCACAAATAATTTCAGACAAATTATATTCTACTGCTCATTTTTTCTTTATGTTTGCCCAATGTGCTACTTTTTATAAACAATAATTTCAGTATTCGTTAAAAGCGGCATTAGCTACAACCCGTATACATGCAACTTATGATGTGACCTCGGTTATAGTTTGAGTCGCGCATGTGCGCCGCTTTTGTTGAACGATTCTGCCAACATAAAACATACTTTATGGTATTCTTTTTTATTCACGATATGAAATAAAACAAAAGTACAGAAATCAGCAGTATACTATTGCACGAGCTGACCGTGGCTCCGAATGTTTGTCTGTGTATTTATGTTTATATTCATATTGGGTCCCGTGCCCATGGTTAAATATATGCCATCTAGTAAAAATACAACATGTTGAGTATGGTAGAGTCTAAGACGGCATGATTTTGTATATGCAGGCAATAATTACTTTGAGCTTGCCTTTTTTAACGGTGAGCATTATTTCATTGTTTTAGTTTTTTTTTATTACTTGTCATCAAAACAAAATAATAACGAAACTAAACACTGAAAGAATGCTCATCGTTAAAAAAGGTAAGCTCAAAGTAATCTATATCACCGTAACCCTTCCCCTGCAATTATTATGTTCGTTCTTTTATGTTCCCCTTATTACTAGTATTCCACTGAAAGATATTAAAAGTGAAAGCTTGGCTGAGATTTAAAAGAATAGTTTAACCCGCAACATGTGAACTTGCATGTGGTTTACTTTTGTTTTAACATTTTTTCCTTTCCATCAATGAATTTGTTTTTATGTAGGATGTTTGATGGTGTCGCATATTTTTTCTATAGCAGGAGTAATTTAGAGCTTCACATATTGTATACTAACATATTTTTCGGGCTGTTCTTTCTCTTTCTAGATTTTCTTTTAATTGGGGCGTTATTTTACCCATTTCTCTCCCGTATACACGTATCTATATAGTCGAAGAGCCCTAAATGGCTTTTATTTTTTATTTTTGTAGAATTTGGTTGCTGTTTCATAGATTACTTCATTTTGTAACAAAGTCCATTTGTTTACGAAGGCAATATATTGACAATAACGAAACAATCTAAAGAAAATATAAAAATGTCTGTAGTCAACAAAAATAACGTTGTATGTAGTGAAGTGTTCGGACTTATAAATGGATAGGGAAAAAGAAAGGGGTTTAATTTCATGTGATTATAAAAGGACAAACATTCATTATTCATTTGCAGTTCAATAACGATATTTAATAATGATTTCTCATTTTGACTAATATTTTCTCGTTTTGAGGGAGAAAAACTAGAAGACTTTATTTCACGAAGCACATCTATTTTGGAGCTGTGCGTCCTAATTTCGTATGAACTTCCATTGGCAGCAGATATTTTTAATTCTTTATTTTGGTACGAATTGGAATATCAACCTGAAACGACAGTTTTTACATTTTCGCTTACCTATTGAAAGTGGATTCATTTGAGTTCTACTCTGCCCTAAAATAAGTTCTATAATTCTGATTTCTCTTTATAGAGCGTATCAATATATCTCCAAGAAGGAACACAATCCGAGGATTTAATGGGGTAGTGAAATTTGGCCTTCCGTTCCAGCAGTAAAGCCCTTAGTAGGGTGTGTCGTCCGTTTGGCTGTGTAGGATATATAAATACGCAGTCACAACCGGTCGGAAACGGGGTCGTCAAACTTCATGTCGCGTGTAGGGGGAGTGCCACGCTCTCTGCATGTTCAATTTCCCATGCAACCACTCTTAGAGTCCATAGGTTTCCTGTTGCCGGGCTAACTGTTATCCCCTATCTAACATAATTACCCCCATTTCCAGTGTCATTCCGTCCCGTATTTCCTTGCCATCATTCCGGCTTGGTACCTTGCAACAACCAATCAACTAATCAATAAAATAACAGTATTAAAAATGACCATTTGTATAAATTTTTCGGTGAAAACTTGGGTAACCAAGTACCAACGTTATATGATATATTTTTTGTTATCACATACTCAACGAAAATATACAACTTTTGCAGGAGTAAGCAGCGCATGTCAGTACACTATAGATATTTAGTAGATTAATACATGGCCTTTTCCGTATCGTTCCGGTTAACAATCCCGAGACTCCTAATTCAACAATAGGCGCTACCCTATGGTCTGATATATGTCGAGGGATGATAACCAGGTCGAAATGAAAAATGCTATGTATTTATCAGTTTATCACATATTTTTGATTTTAGACTCTTAGTAAGCAGTACACCAAATTACTGTTTAGGACAAGAAGATAGCAATCACAAGTCGAAGAAGGGAAGACAAAGAATCGTCAAAATACTTTTTTCCTTGGGTGTACCTAGTTCCTGTTGATCACAAAGAGCGCCATCTCGAATGGAGCTTTAATCGGGATCTTTGATTTTACTTTCAACATTTATCATAAAATATTCCTACTCATTTCCATAATACACTATTCACATATGTAATGTATAAATTAAGGACTTTCACTCAGACAATACTTATGTATGGACCTGTTCGTCCTCGGTCAATATAATCTGAACAGGTCAATATATAACGTATTGACCTTGCCAAAAGTCCATAATTGATAAATATTATATATAAAACAAAAAAGTCCATATTTTGTTGCAATCTAATTTATAAAGGCACTAAAACTACTTTATTCTGATAGTCGGAATACCTTAACAAGGAACAAGGAAATTAGTTTTTTTTTTTTTTTATAAGCGGTCTTTATTTAAATTCTAAGTTAAGGATTGTCCGTGAATATAACAAACAAGACTTACCGTGCAAGAAGATGTCAGTAATACATTTTGTGCTTATTCCTAAGCCTGTCAAAGGAAAACTTATGCATGCTAGAGGGCAGCCATGGTGTCATTGTCCATTTCATATTTCATTTGCGACAGACAATGGAAAATGACAAGGTTTCTTATAAAAGCTGATATACTTAGAAGACAAATCTGGTATAGAATTGATAATTGTTATGTATGTGTGTTAGTGGAAGCAGGTTTCTTTAAACGTCAACGTATGTAGTAATCTTTAACGTATTTTTTTTTTTCGATAACAGAACCACGAATAATAAATAAAAATCGCTAAGAACAAAAAGGAAACATTTCTCTAAGATCATATAGAATTTATGCTAAAAGCATTGTGGATAATGCATTTAAAAGAAAAGTAGTTTCAAGTCCTAAGGACCTAAAGAGAGACTTAATACAACTTATTAGTTGCATGAGTAAATTGATATTCAGTAAATGTGAATGAAATGTTCCTTTTCAGCCACTGCGACGATTTTAATTTTTCATGGAATTGTTTTATTTTGCAGTATTTTTCTTTTTAAATATTAGTTTCAACCGTTCTGTAAGTGAACAAAAATGTAAAGATAAATGGAAAATGTTTTTTTTTTCATGACATAAACTCCCTCAACTCATCTGACAAAACCCAAAGCAAAGCACCATCGCTTTTATTGATGTTCTTCATCTCAAAGTCACAGTAGGATCTTTTTTGACGGAAAGAAAGCTCGTACTTGCCTTTAAATTCACGACGGTCCCTAGCACCGGTTTGAGTGGAATTCTCTGGTAGATACCGACAACACTAAATATATTTATGAAAAAAGAGGCGGAAGATACCTAGGGGATATTCAAAGAGAGGCTGACAACGCCATGAAATCAAACAAAAGACGACAAAAAGGAAATATTGAATGAATTTATTATCTAATAATAAAACTTTGCGATACAAAAATGGTTAGATTATCTTTTTTGAGCACAGAGACTACGATCATATTGTTTAATTCGCCGTTGGCTTTATAAAGAGAATAGTAAAATTTCAAATGAAAGACAAAGCTAGTCATTCGATTACAAGAACTTCTTGGTCGTCTAACAAATCAG